AAACTAATTTAAAAATTATAATTTACCTAAAGGTAATAATAAACTTTTTACTCATTGTAAAGGGGGCCCATTAAAATCGCTTGCGGGGGAGCCCACTCAGAATTTGTTACGCCACTGACAATACTAAGGTTGTTTTCAAGTCTTTATAGTAGCAAATTGTTTTATAACACTTTACATTTATTTCATCTAGCAGGTCTTGATAAATGGACAGAATTGCTAAGGAGTTAAATCTTTCTTGGGGAATTGTATTTCTTAGGTACCTAGTTCTTTACCCTTTTTAGAGCAGAAAAAGATCGTTCACCACTTGCATTTGAAACCATTATAAAAAAAAATTCGCAGACAATTATTAATATTCGGAAATGAAGATATTAATTTATTTTCGTATAAAACTTATACTAATTCCAATGGAGTTTCTATTTTTATTTCCGAAAGGGAAGTTATCAGTTTCTTGAGTTGGACACATTTTTGAGGAAAAAACTCATCCAAATCCTCCACGAAGATTTATGCTTTTAGATTAAACAAAAATTCAAATTTGTTTGTGCCAGATTTCTTATCATATCGACAAATGATTTTGGATTATAGATTGTCAATTATTAAAATAAAACTTATTGTTCGCATTGTTTCTTTTTTGCTTAAACTTGCCTCTGAATTATTTTCTTCAAATTGTAATTTTCTTATGATTATCCGCTTCTGAGCATAATTTTGTTTCCTGTTAATTTCCTCGTAATGATCAAAATGATATCACGTAAAAAATCAAAGTTCTCAACAAAAAATGACAAAAGATGAGCATTTGTGCTTAAATCCGTATTTTGTTTTTGGACTGCTTTATTGGTTTCATTAACCCTTTGCAAAACGTCTATCCAAAAAGTTCAAATTATTCCGTTTCCAATAAATCAAGTTTTTCTGCTGCTTTAACTATAACAACATTTTTCTCATTTGTATCCGTTGTATCCGCCGACGCAGTGTCGCAATAATTTTTTTTCTAAATTCTAACGATTAAGTATTTTTTTTAAATTATGGGCGGTACGCGGTACCGCCCCAAAAATATTTACCGCCCGGTGCTATAGTCCCCAAAAAACCCCTGTTAAACCGGCACTGTACCTAGCTACATGATTTAAGTAGAAATGGATTTTTGTAAGAAAATGGTTTACTTACCCTCTTGCTATTACACTGAATTCAATTAATTGTTTAATAAATAGGTATCTAATTTCAATTTGTTTGCATTTTTATTAAAAAAATAGGTAGTTTGGAATGTTTACGCTGTGTTTAACATTTAATTTCACTGAAAATTTAAAGCAAATTAAAGTTTAAAGATAATTTAAATCGTAGAAAAAGAAAACAACTGTGAAATCCACAAAAACGTCAAATTGCAATGTCCTAACCACACTTTTTGTTTTATTATTCATATTTAATTTTACAATAATTTAATGAAAAATATTAAACATTATAATGTTTTAACAGTAAAACAAACAAATTAGTGCTTATTATAAATAAATTAAACCAGTTTAGTACGTTAATTTCTTAGAAAAGGATTAATTTGTCAAAACAATACCCCTAGCGAGAAAAAATCGAACTAATTACTTGCCTCATAAAATTTTTTATCGGCCTAGGCCATAACAAGGTATTTCTTTATCGAATGTTGACAACAATAAAGTTTAAATTATAGACCGCGTGGAGATAAATATTTTTACACATTTTAAGAGAAATTTTATTTTGGAACAAAAAATTATTATTATTTTTAAGTTTAGGATATACCCAACTATACATTACTATACTATATAAACTAAATTGTCTTTCAAATTATGAAAAATTATACAGGGTGTTTCGTTTAAAAAAAAATCGTGAATATTTGATTGTTTTTCTGTTTTCACCATTTAAATCAGAAGAAAAAATGACACCAATTTGTTAGTTTCCCTGACTTTGTAGCTACAATAATAACGAAGTTGTGAGCAGATGCAGGGTACCCTGTACGTGAATATGTAAAATTTACTTTTAAATCATTATTTCTTAAATTCATTTAGCAATGAGTGGTAAGGTAAGTAAATAATGAAAACTAAATGTCGGTTACATTATCTTACAATTTAAGCTTTTGTATGGGGAATTATAACATAGATAGGCCTCTTTTAAGGGCCTAGCAATCAATTTTTCAAAAAAAGAATAGTAGATTTTTTGAATCACCCAAATGTACCTACCTAATCAATCGCAAATTTAAAAAAAATAATGATATAAAATATCTGATAAAATGCAGTAATTTTCGTACATATAATTTAAATTTGATAATTTTGCCATTAATTTAGTTTTTATTTAGTGGCAATAAGAATACTGGTCACATATTAAATATGTAAGTAAATAACTTTAAAGCTAGAATTTTATTAAAAAATAAAATAGAAATATATGAAAATTAGTCAAAATGTTTATAAAATATTTTTTTCCCAACTTTAAAACGCCCATTATCGTACATGTTTCCATGACACTAAGTGACCTTTTAAACATACATTGACATGTTGTGGCTTTATGGCGCTTTAGTCACGGTTCGTTAAAATAAAGAGCCTTTGTTGTAAAATAATACTAAATGTGAAAATTATTTTATTATCTCAATACAAAAAAACAAAAGTATTAAATAGTTTCTCAACGCCAAAATTTGAAAAGTTTATATGAACATTGTACTGACCTTTTAATTTCGCCGGCAGTAAACTATAACTTAAATTCGGACACGGACTCCACTGTAAAGTCCTCATAAAACATTTTCTTTACTTTCACTGTTCAAGAAATACATTTCGATTTATAACCTTTATAATCTGTGTTTATAAAATATAAAAATTTTACATTTGACGGTGACACACAGATTTCCCTATTGTTTCATAGATGGCGCTCTATACAAATTTTTGATTTAAATCATTTTAAGATAATACCAAGTATTTGTCGTAGAAAAAGTATAGTATGCACCTCGTTTATAAACTTTTCTATACACTCATTAATTTAAGCACTCGCTCGCAAGGTCGTTCGTGCCTAAATTAAATTCGTGTGTAACATGGCGTTTATCAAACTTGTTACATAATATACTATTATTATCTCAATACAAAAATACAAGAGTATTAAATAAGTTTCTCGACGCCAATATTTGAAAAGATTATATGAACCTTTTAATTTCGCCGTATTAGTGCAGTTAACTAGATTTAACTGATAAAGCGTTAAAATAACTTAATCTTTTATTCAAGTGTCAAAAGTCTGCTCACCATAGCTACACTTCTAACTCTAGCAAAATAATAAAAACAATTTAACGTCAATTTTCTGAAATATTCACAAAAATAAGATTTTAAATAAATATTTTTACATATTTTAAAAGAAAATTTAATTTGGAACAAAAAATTATTATTGCATAACTACCATAAACTTAAAAATAAACAATTATTGCACTTGAACTTTCTGATGGTTGTAATAACAAAATTATTATTTTTTAACAACAAGTTCAAGTTCTTATCAATTGTTTATTTTTAAGTTTAGGGTAGTTAGGTATGCAACAATAATTTGTTGTTACAAATTAAATTGTGTTTCGTTTAAAAAAACGTTATTTTCGTGAAGTTCAATTGTTTTTCTGTTTTCACCATTTTAACCAGAAGAAAAAATGACACCAATTTTTTAGTTTAACCGACTTTGTGGCTCCAATAATAACAAAGTATTGGTGAGCAGATACAGGATGAATATGTAAAATTTACTTTTAAATTATTATTTCTTAAATTCATTAAGGTAAGGTAGGTAAGTAAATAGTAATAAATTTAATCTATAAAAGTACAAGTATACTTTATTCTTATTCTTATTTCTATTTTATAACAGTATGGAGGCAGCCCTAAGACCATCAAATTCAGGAAACATCGAAGAAAATTTAGAGGAAAATTTCGTACCGTACTACCAAGATTTTAACTTCTTGATTTGTTTCCAATACGTTAAAAATAATGAAGCTTACGTGGCTTTGCTGAAAAAACTAAAATCCCCGCCTATCATAAGAGAACAATTAATTCGACTTCACTGCTACATATATTATTTGAGTGATTGTGTGCTTGAGGGAGAAAAAAATGTGCAGTACCGTTCTGAGGTTAAGGAAGTTGGCCTCATTTTAAAAGTGGATTTGTTTATTAATACCTCTAGAGAAATAAGTGCAGCTAAAAAATCAGAAATAGTATTGTTAACTAGGAAAATAAAATTTGCTGGTTTGGATATTTTTAGAAATAACATCAAAGTCGATGTGAATGTCTATATTAATGGGTTAGATTTAAAATATATTTTTGTAAAAATTATTGAAAAAACACCCACACAAAAAGCAATGGAAATTCACGGAATAAAAAAATTTGAGGAAAGTGACAGTGAAGATGAATTTGATGATTTCGATGAACAGTACTATAAAATGTTGCCACCTGCTAAAAAATTAAGCCAAGATCGTATTGTTACTATTAAATGTAATGAGAATAAATAAAACATTTTTATTTTTTCACAAGTTTTCGTCAAAAAAAAAAAAGAATAGTAGATTTTTTAAATTACCCAAATGTACCTCCACCTAATCAATAGCAAATTTAAAAAAATAGATACCTATAAACTATTTACATATCGTTTAAATTTGATAATTTTGCCATTTATTTAATTTTTATTTAGTGGTAATATAATACTGGTCACATATTAAATAGGTAAGTAAATCATTTTAAAACTAGAATTTCAAAATAAAAATAAAATAGAAATATATAAAAATGTTTATAAAATATTTTAAATTTGTTGTTTTGAATAATTAATTAATTAAATTAATCCACTCTAATTTAATTGACTCTGTATATTTTATAAAAATGCAGTATAAAATAGTAAGAATGCATTCTAACTAGTTAATACAAAATATAATCTTTTTTTGAAAATATTTTTGTACCCAAATTCTTCATCTTTTGTAAACGTGGCACCACTGTCGAGCGTAAGACGCATACTGCAACGTCCACAATGGATTGTGGCAACGTCTTTCATTTTTTTCTGTATATTCGGGGGAAGTCCCTAAATCGCACAGGAATGTAATTTTAGCCGATTTCAGTGTTCATTAAAGTTTATTTATTTATATGTACCTATGTAGTGAGTGTACAATAATTACCATAGAGGTAAGCATATTTTGTATGAAGTGATAAAGGCTTTCTTAATTTGTTTGGATTGATTATGCCTGTTGGCAAAAGACTTTTATTTGACAGTTGACAGCGTAAACAAAATGAAATATTTCGTATTTACATAACAACAGTGTGCCTACTATCTAAATTAATGATTTTAACGAATAGAGAACTTAAATAACTGGTAAGTAACTATATAGTAAATATTCTCTATTTTTTTTAATGGTGCAATTTATAATAAATGATTTTTGTTAAAATAATAATAAAAATGTGTTAATTATACGTTTTATACGGTCTGCTCAATATTGTCATTGGTAAGGAAATTTTCCTAGATCTAGGTATCTAAAAACGACATGCCTCAGGGAAATTTTTACGAATCTATGGATTTTTTAAAAAGTTGACCAAAATTATTAAATATTTATAAAATCAGTACATTTTACCATTAAATGCTATTTATGTCAAAACAGAACCAAACATCAAGCGAGCGTTGAAAATGTATTATATCGGCAACCCAGAATACAATCTTTCACCGTTTTGTTGCCGCCAATTTATAAATAGTTTACCCTTTGTAATCTGTGGTTTTAGAGTTTAGTTTAGTAAAAAAATAATTTATATCCAGCGTAGGTATTATAATAATTATTTCCGAACTAGGTAGTTTTAAATAGGCACATAGTCTTTGTCTTGTGTTTGATGATAAATAAATCTAGGTATAACATAAAATTGGTACCTATCCTTACTTATAAGTATATAGTACCTCCCTAATATGATGTTATCATTGCCGTTTAATTAAAGTAGGAATAACTACCATAATGAATTATGTGTGTTCTTGATTACGTAAGTTGCTTAATATTTAGATTACATTATTTTATCTAGGCAGTTAATTTCGCGAATTTAATCATAATTTAAGGTTATGTTTTTGTTAAAGCCGCAAAAAGTTGAAAATATTACCAGTTTTTCAAGGCAAAATTAAAAACATAAATTTTATAGAAAAATATTACACACATTATAATATTTATAAATTGGCAATGTAGGTATACAGTATCTCAAATATAAAGCGGAATTTTGTGTTTATTATTTTTTAACATTAAAATGTTTTAATAATTTTTGATTAAAATACAGGGTGTTCAGAAAATAACGCGTAAAGCCTGATTTATAGATTGCGTTCCTTCCTTCCTCCCGTAAATGATAAACAATACGAAAATCGTAGTGCCATTTATAGATTCCCGTAGGAAGGCAATCTATAAATCAGGCTTAATCCGAAAAGGCATAACAAATTTTTGACGAGTGCTTTTTTAGTTATTAACGGCAATGCTGTATCTAATGATGAGAAATAAATAGTAGGCATCATAGATTATAAAGAATAAACTTTATGTTTAATATACAAATTAAAACCTACTTTTTTATTTTTTTAAACCTAAATATCATTTTATTTGGCCCTATTACTTATTACGTACATTTTTGAAGAACTTGTTTATTTGTTACAGATTTTGGACCTACTATTTCTACTAAATTTTGTTTTTTATTTCTTTGTGAAAAAAAAACACAATGAACAAAACTAAATCGAAATCGAAAAGGCAAAAAAGAAAACAAAAAGTCTTAAGAGATAGAGAGTATGAGAATATATTGGAAAAATCTGATAAATGTCTAAATAAAATACCACAAAAGAGGTTTTTTTCACACGAAATACCACCTCAATATAGAGAACGAGTACAGCTTCTGAATCAGCACATACAACATTCACTTGCACACTACTATAAGCATGGAAAAAATTATTTCGAACCACTCATTAAACTCCTCTTTGACTTTCCAATTAGTCAAGAACGCTTCAAAACAATTATAACCATCAGTATTACCACAACAAACTCTGACCCATATAAACCGCAAGAAAAGTTAGATATAATGTATTTTTTAAAGCACTTAAACAGCACCGCCCATGGAATTTTTCGCGAAGACAAAGATGTTTCTGTAAACATTTTATTGAACATGCTAAGGCCAAAAGAGTTTTTTAATAAAGAATCTTCACAAAAACATGATAAATCTTCAGGGATTGTCAAAAAAAATACTCCTTTAAAAACAGATTTGAAGAAAGAACAAGAAAGGCCAGGTAACAAAATAAATGAAGAAAACACTTTACCATCAATATCGAAAATTGTTGAAAATAACAAAAATAAATTAAACAAAATAGGCAATGAAAATAAAAAAATCAAATTATTAGATTATTTGGAAAACCTTTTCGAATCTGGTAGATTAGACAGTGATATAAAAAAAATGTTAGGTGACCAAAGAAATAAATCTACAGAAGTTTCTAAAGAAAGTACACCCAGGGGATTAAATTCTCGGAAAAATGAACATCAAGGGTCCATACAAACAAATCAAAACGACGATGAAAAAAAAGAAGGTGAGTGGAAAGAGGTTACCAAAAAAGACAAGATTTGTAACAAAGTGGGAAAACGTTTTGAAGAATTTAAAATAAACGATAACAATAAAAATATTAAAGAACTTGAGGCAGGTAACAAAACGAATAAAGCAAAAACTTTGTCATCAAAATCAAAAAGAATGGCAACAAAAATTGAAGGAAATAACAAAAATAAATCCTCTGAAATGGTACCAAAAAAAGAAAACAAAATAGACAATTTAAATAATGAAAACAAAACATCAGGATATTTGGAAAACCTTTGTGAATTTGGTTCATTTGACAGTGATTTAAAAAAAATGTTAAATATCCAAATAGACAAATCTATAGAAATATCAAAAGAAAGTACACAATCTCAGAAAAATGAACATCAAGGGTCCATAGAAACAAATGAAAACGACGATGAAAAAAAAGAAGGCGAGTGGAAAGAGGTTACCAAAAAAGACAAGATTTGTAACAAAATGGGAAAATATTTTGCAGAATTTAAATTAAACGATTACAATAAAAATATTAAAGACTTTGAGGCAGGTAACAAAACAAATGAAACAAAAACTTTGTTATCAAAATCAAAAAAAATGGGAACAAAAATTGTAGGAAATAACAAAAATAAATCCTCTGCAATGGGACCAAAAAAAGAAAACAAAATGGACAATATAAATAATGAAAACAAAACATCAGAATATTTGGAAAACCTTAGTGAATTTGGTTCATTTGACAGTAATTTAAGAAAAGTGTTAAATATCCAAACAGACAAATCTGTAGAAATATCAAAAGAAAGTACACAATCTCAGAAAAATGAACATCAAGGGTCCATAGAAACAAATGAAAACGACGATGAAAAAAAAGAAGGAGAGTGGAAAGAGGTTACCAAAAAAGACAAGATTTGTAACAAAGTGGGAAAAAGTTTTGCAGAATTTAAAATAAACGATAACAATAAAAATATTAAAGACTTTGAGGGAGGTAACAAAATAAATGAAACAAAAACTTTGTTATCAAAATCAAAAAAAATGGGAACAAAAATTGTAGGAAATAACAAAAATAAATCCTCTGCAATGGTAGCAAAAAAAGAAAACAAAATGGACAATATGAATAATGAAAACAAAACATCAGAATATTTGGAAAACCTTTGTGAATTTGGTTCATTTGACAGTGATTTAAAAAAAATGTTAAATATCCAAACAGACAAATCTACAGAAATATCAAAAGAAAGTACAGAATATCAGAAAAATGAACATCAAGGGTCCATAGAAACAAATGAAAACGACGATGAAAAAAAAGAAGGCGAGTGGAAAGAGGTTACAAAAAGAGGCAAGATTTATAACAAAATGAATAAACGTTTTGCAGAATTTAAAATAAACGATTACAATGAAAATATTGAAGACTTTGAGGCAGGTAACAAAATAAATAAACCAACAAAGAACAAAAATAAATCCGCTGCAATAGTACCCAAAAAAGAAAACAAAGAAGACAATAAAAATAATGGGAAAAAATCATCAGAATATTTGGAAAACCATTTTGAATTTGGTACATTTGACAGCGATTTTAAAAAAATGTTAAATATTCAAACAGAAATATCAAAAGAATCTCAGAAAAATGAAAATCGAGGGTCCATAGAAACAAATGAAAATGGCGATGAAAAAGATGAAGGTGAGTGGAAAAAGGTTACAAAAAAAGACAAAATTTGTAACCGAATATTCAAAATAAAGGACCACAATGAAAATATTAGAGACTTTGATAGTGACTCCGATCAAACCACCAAAAGTGAAAAAACAAAATCTAAAAAAAAACGAAAAAAAGCATCTAAACAAAATGATTATTTTGTTAAAAATGCAAATGACAATCAAAAGTCAAAGAATACAAATGAAAATGAGGAAGGCGAGCGTAAAAATATTAAAGAAAATTTTAATGAAAATATCAACTTTGCGGACCTAGAATTGCCAATGAAAATTCACGGAATTGGCAGTTTTTATGAGAGTGATAACTTCAGTGAAGATGGTTTTAGCGATTTTGACGATGATTACTATAAATATTTACCGCCCCCCATTAAAATCAACCCCGAAGACGTGGTTGTAATTATAGCCCGTTTAAATTAGAACCGTCTTTAGAAAAAAAACCATTTTTTATTTTTGTATCTTCAAATAAATTGAGGTTCAGATCAAGTTTGTTTTCGTTTTGTACTTCTCTCAAGAGATGTCCAAAGAAATTCCTTTGAAATTGCAATATTAACGTTTAAATGTATAATTCAAAATATGACTTTATTTGATCATATATAAATAAATGTTCTTGCACTTACCCATTTGTACTACATTTTCTTGTGGAAACACATCTTTACAATTTTAAATTTGAAAAAACATAATATGCACGCATGTATGTATGCAACCCAGAATACACTCCTTAACGAATTAAATTTAAACAAAATAAGCGCAAATTAATTACCCCAAGTCTTGAAAAGCTTTTTTATGCAAGTGTTTAAATTGCTCACGAAGCCGTTAGGCCGAGTGTGCATTAACACGAGCTTGAAAAAAGCTTTTCTCACATGTGAAACACAATATTTTTCTAGGTACGACCCTTTTATTTTTTATTATTTTCAAATACAACACAAAAAACCTAAAAACGTGTTTGAGAGCTGTTAAAATTACTTTCATCTTATTTTAATTTTTAAGGTATAAGTTACTTAAAATCAACAAACTTACCTTCTCAATTTAAATAAAGGCACTAAAAATTAGAATTTAGTATACAAACACAATTAACAGTGTTCTAAATGATATTTAGACATACATATACAAATACAATACAAATTTTGAAACGAATGTCAAATGATGCTGTCAATTTCTTTTCACACAGACCTGTCACTTTTCACACAGAAATGTCACTTTACATTCGTGTTTTGCCTTGCCAATGAAAAGATTCATTTTATAAGCAACGATGCCATTACGAAATGTGACTTTTACATAGTGGTCGTAGAATAAATATTTTTCCTATTTGAATATTCTCTAAGAAATACAATTTTAAATTCAATGAAAAATAATATGGAGCCTGTATGTATGCAACTCAGTATACTAACAATTTTTACTTTAATAAATTAAATTCTAACAAATTAACGGTTTTAACATTAATTACTTTGTAATTATTTGCGTGATAAAGTTAATTTTATCGATAAATTAGTCTGCAAAACAAAGTGACGTTTTGTTTGCCATACGTGTCATCTGTCAAAATATATCAAGGTGACGTTTAGTGGTTTTATCATTTTTTCATCGTTTTACAAAGGGAAAAAATCGCTTGTGAATGTTGTTACAACACAGTTAAAAGGTGGAAAATTGTTCGTTATTTAAAGCTGCATAGTTTTTAAGAATAAGCCAAACCTACATTAAAATAGCGGCGTCAAAAAGAAAACCATGGGGTTGACTATTTCTGCAGTATTTACCCGGCTGTTTGGCAAAAAGCCGATGCGTATATTGATGGTGGGGCTGGACGCAGCCGGCAAGACGACAATTTTGTACAAACTCAAGCTCGGAGAGATTGTAACCACAATCCCAACGATAGGCTTCAACGTGGAAACAGTGGAGTACAAAAACATTTCCTTCACTGTTTGGGACGTGGGCGGCCAAACCAGGATAAGGAAGCTGTGGAGACACTACTTCAGCAACACAGACGGCCTAATCTTCGTGGTGGATTCCAACGACAAAGAGCGAATAAGCGAGGCTGAGGGCGAGTTGCACAGCATGTTGCAGGAGGAAGAGCTGAAGGACGCCGCTCTACTGATTTTCGCCAACAAACAGGATCTTCCCAATTCCATGAACTCTGCAGAGTTAACGGACAAGCTGAATCTAACGCAACTGAAGAGTCGAAGATGGTATATCCAAGCTACGTGCGCCACACAAGGGAATGGACTGTACGAAGGGTTGGACTGGCTGTCCAACGAATTGGCCAAGTAAATTTAAAGATTATATATTTTTTATTCACCTTATTCCTGTTTATTTGTTTTTATTAACCTTAAGAATAAAATATTGATATGACGTTTTTGTTTTTACGAAGTTTTTTGTTAATAAGGCAATGAAATAAATTGAAAATCTTGTTAGACTGATGGCGGGTATCTACAAAACTTTTTTTAGACATGGCAACGCTGTTTGTAAATCGCCAAAAATTAGTTAATAGTTGTACTTTTAAGGTTAATTTTCGTTGAAATTGGCAGTTTATTTACGTTTCTTGTATCGTAAAAAAATACATACATTTGACATTTAGAAAATTTTAGACGTTTGTATTAAATTATAAGGAATTTTATTGGCTTAGCGAAAATCAGGTTGGCTTTGACTTGGACAGTCACGATCTAAAATTTTATAGGTATGAATTACCCCTAGACCAAACCAGGAATTACCTACAAAATATCGTAAACGTCAAAATTGTATATATTTTAATTTTTTCACTAAAATATACTAATCATCGTTAATTTGAACAAAAACTAACCTTAAAAATACAATTTACTACATAACTATAGCGATTTAAAGTTCCAGACATTATTGCAATGTCTAAAAGTTTAGCCAAACATTAAATTCCACTAAAAAATTTTGTGCATAATTTGTGGTTTTCTTTTCTTGTAATAATTAAGAACACCGCGGTTTTGATATGTTTAAATGATTCATAAAAGGTTTTATTATTGTATTTGTAACATATTCATAATGTAAATTAAATTTTTAAAGAAAAAAACTTGTCTTACTTGGGCTAAGTAGCTGTTTATGATTCATAGATTATGAGTATTGAGAAAGGTATTTCAACGATATCATGGGCTGCAGGGTATCCTACAACTTTTCCACATATTCAGAAATGAAATCATTTCCTCTGACATTAATTTTAGTGTTTTTTTAGTTAGTCAATTTTCAAGGGATACATTTAGATTTACACAGTAAAATTTGATTTTAACACCTCGGCCATTTCAAGCGCACGGACGGGACAAATCACAAGACTGTTTTTATAAAAAAAATTGTAGGTAGGTAATTTACTATTTATTATTTTTTCATCAAAATTGTCAAATATATTCTTTTTTCTACTCCCATGGGAGAGCGTTTTAAAGGTGCACCTTTAAAACGCTCTTTATCTTACATGTTTCCATGACACTAAGTGACCTTTTAAATACACATTGACAAGTTGTGGCTTTATGGCGCTTTAGTCACGGGCTGAAGTTAGCAACAGGTTTTTAGTCACGGGCTGAAGTTAGTTAACAGTTGTCAAATGTCATAGGTACAATTGTTAAAATAAAGTGCCTTTCTTGTAAAATAATACTAAATGTGAAAATTATTTTATTATCTCAATACAAAAATACAAAAGTATTAAATAGTTTCTCAACGCCAATATTTGAAAAGTTTTTATGAACATTGTACTGACCTTTTACTTTCGCCGGCAGTAAACTATAACTTAAATTCGGGCACGGACTCTACTGCATGTAAAGTCCCCATAAAACATTTCCTTTACTTTTCACTGTGAAAAACTGTCAATTTTCAAGAAATACTTTTAGATTTATAACCTTTATAAATATGTTTATAAAATGTAAAAATGTGACATTTGACAGTTTCCCCTGTTGTTTCATAGATGGCGCTCTATACAAATTTTTGATTTAAATCATTTTAAGCTAATAATAGGTATTTGTCGTAAAAAAAGTATAGTATGCACCTCGTTTATAAAAGTAAAAGTAGTAAAATAATATTTTGCATATTGGTTATAATATTTTTATGACTTTTCTAGTACCTACTTGCGAGACTTTTCTGGCAATAAATTTTGTTTAGCACCAAAGAAAATCCTTTTTTTCTTCTTTAACATTAACAGCCGCTTATTGTAAATAAGTAAATTAAGGACGACATGGCGAATCTATTTTGACATCAACTGTCAAACCAATGACACTGATACCAACTATCTAAAGTAAAATTCGACCAAATTAAATATAAGGTAAAAAACTAATTCGTTTTATAGAATTTTTGCAACATAGATAAAATAGCATAAAGAACTCATGTCATAAGACCTTTTGTCGCCTAAAGCCTAATAAAATAAGAATATTTTGAACAATTTTGATGTCAAAATATTATATTATAAATTATCTACATTTTTTTATATAAACAGTTATGTAATTCGTGCGTTTCGCGTGTAAGAATTTTTAATACTTTGTAATAATTTTTAATGATGGTTTAATTTGTAATACAATTGTATTGCTGTTTTATTTTTTGTTGTCACTGCCCACTTTTATTTATTTATCACTCTTCAAATGATTTTAAGGGAATAGAAAAAAAACTCACTTAGGTATTATAAATAGGAAATATATTTTTAGGATATGTACAACATATTCTAGAGTACCTATATAATATATTCACAAACATTTAAAAAAACCTAATTTTATTTTTTACAAAAGATTTTTTCAGTGAATGATTTTATACCTTAATAATTAAATAGGTGATTAACATTATTGTAATGTGTTTAATTTTATAGTCTTGTCAAATAACATAGGATTTTACCCTGGAAAAGTTCCTGGGTAAAAAATTAAATCCTAAATTTAATAGTTTTACTAGGAAACTCTTGCACTATGGAAGTTGTGGGTCTAACGAATGGTGTCTCATCTGCGTAGAAAAAATTAAAATAAAAAATAAAACAAACAAAATTTATTTAAAAAAAATTAAAATTTAGCAGTTGCTAAAGTTCTTGGGTAAAAATAAAAAATTAAAACCTACATTTAGTACTTTAACTAGAAAACTCTATCAATGTAGCCCCCATCTTGTACTGTGGACGTAGTGGGTCTGGGTAACGAATGGTGTCTCATCTGCGTGGACCTCCTGGGGGGCGCCAAAAACTCGAACATGCTCGTGGTGTGACTGGCCAGCATTTTGCCCAGATCGCAGGGCATGGGATCCGTCCAGAAGAAATCGTGATTCAACGCTGTATCGGCATCGGCTCTTTTGGAGGGATCCAACACCAACAATTTATCCAACAAATCGCAGGCGTAGGGATCCTTCATGTACGGCTTCAGGCGCTCCTTGACCTTCCTCTTCTGCTGCTGCGGAAGCTCCATCGTTCTGTACAACTCCAAAGTATCCACATTGGGCCACACCTGCGGCGTTATGGAACCGCACAGCTGCGAAATCAGCGTCAGCTGTTGCTGCTCGCTGTTGCCCTGCATTATGGGCGACCTAGTCCACATCTCCGCCATTATGCATCCCGCCCCCCACAAGTCCACGGGGGGGCCGTAGTTGCGCTCCCCCAGCAACAGCTCCGGAGGCCTGTACCACAGAGTCACCACCCTATTCGTAAACCTGTTCGGCACGCCACTCTTATTCGTGCTGAACGCTCTAGCCAGCCCGAAATCCGCCAGCTTCAAAACCCCGTTCTTGGTTATCAGCACGTTGGCCGCCTTCATGTCTCTGTGCAAAATCTTGTTGCTGTGTATGTAGTACAGTCCGTTCAGCAGCTGCTGCACCACCTTCTTGATCTCCCCCAAGCTGAACTTCACGTTCACGTTCGACAGCAATCCCGCCAAATCGTGCTCGCAAAACTCAAACACCAAATAGAACGTCGAGCGGTAGCGGTTGCTCTGCGTCGCCTTCGTACGACAGATTTCTATCAAGTTGACGACGTTTTCGTGCTTTAGAAGCTGCAAGATTCTTATCTCCCTCAGGGCTGTGATAGGGAACTGAAAAAGAATGACATGTTTTAGGGGATTCCCATAATAATATTAATATTTATTGGTCTAAAGATCAATGATTATTGGTCTAAAGATCAATGATATGAGACAAGTCAATTCAAAAACTATTCTATTATACTATTATGGATTCCCATAATAATATTAATATTTATTGGTCTAAAGATCAATGATATGAGACAAGTCAATTCAAAAACTATTATGATATTCAAGTATATATAAATTAAATACATACAACAACAAAAAAATATGGTAAATCAAAACAAATTACAAAAAAACTATGGTAAATCAAAAAAATTACAATAGAACTTCATTTAAAAATTCTTCGACTGAATAAAAAGCTTTTTCAAGAAGAATCAATTTTAAGTTATGTTTGAAAGAATTTAAAGTTTGAATTTTAAGAGAAGTAACAGTAATGCACCTATGTAAAATGGATTCGACTTAAACAGGTCATGTTTTATAAACTCTAAAGTCGGTTTAATACAGATGCGAAATACGAATATTTGCGAACTATTTTAGGGGCATTGTTTTCCCACTAGGATATTTTAGGTACGTAAATAGTGAAGTTAAGTTAAAATAAGAAACATTAATGCACCTCAAAAAACTCTTTCTACATTATAAAAAAAGAAAAAACACAGTTAAAATAAAACAACAAAACAAACCCTACGATACAAACGAAATAAACATAAATAGCGTAGGTATGATAAGCAATTGCATTAATTTTAGTAAATTAGTGCGATTTTCGCAAAATATGGAACAATCTCAAGATTCAAATCTTGCGAATCAAATGGACCACTGAAAACATTTTTCGCAATTCGCATTTGTATGAAACCGACTTAATTGCACATTTGGAATCTGCTGTTTATTTCTACGTTTCTCAAAATATTTTAAAAAGAACTAAAAACATTTTAAATCCAAAAATCGTTATAACTTTGTTATTCATGGGAAAGATTTTTAAATGCCATTTTAATAGAATTGTAACTACGCAACTTTTGTCTAATTTAACCGACCCTGTAACTCTTCAAATAAAAAAGATACTTGTATACAGATTTTAGTGAAAAAACAAGATTTAAAAAGAAATACTGTTGATAAAAAATTAAACTACCTTTTACGACTTATTTCATTCTTGAATCCCCGAACTTTAAAATTAAGTTTTGTTTGATTGTTTCTTTGTATTCCAATACAAATATAAAAGCAGTTTGATCAGCGCTTTATTTTGTAGTGGTTTTAATTCATTATTTGAGTTGTTTTACATTCAAAAGATTGCGTTGTATATTTTTTACAATTGATAGCCAAAATCGTTTATTTTCAAAACTAAATTAGTAGAAATAATTTAAGCAATGTTACAAATGATATTTTACTTGCTGTATGCAACCAATATCACACTATTTATTACTGTTGTAATCTACACTCAAACAAACAACTTTCGCATTTTTAATATTCTTAATAAAATTATTACTATAACTATAACAATAAAAATGTAACTCACCCCTTCTTTTTCATTGTCCATAAGCACTTTCTTCATTGCAACAAATTTTTGCGAGTTCCTTCTGTCCTTGGCCTTAAAAACCTCCCTGTTAACAAAGAAATTACAACATTACAACATAAGTAAATAATTTATAATAATAATAATATTTTAATTTAAATTATTATTATTATTTAAATTATTTAGCTAAAGAATTAATTTAAATGTAACACTCACCCAAACGTTCCCTGTCCAATTTTCGCCACCTTTTCATATTTAGCAGACTCATCACAATAGGGGAAATTGTAATTTTCAATATACTTTTCCTTTTCACGGTTATTCATCATTTGCGGGTAAGCTGTCCTTTCTCGAGCGTTGTTGTTCTGCATGTACTTTATATATATCGAATATAACTTAAAAACCAACAAAATAAAACCACAGCACTGTTTATTTTCTTTAAGGGAACATTTTCACTCACTTTCTAACCACACTTTATCGAAGCACTGTCAAATTATAACTGTCAAGATATAGAAGAGCGCGACTATTTCACTCGTAGAGAACTTTACGCGGGCTATGAAGATGTTAAATATCTATCAGAGGTGGCGTTAGTGTTTATTTTAAAATTATCGTTTGGTACGAAGCACAGGTGAGTTTATTTTAATTTATGTTAGTTAATAAGATTTTGAAATGAATTTATATGTAAATATCTATACCTACAACCGCAATGTATTTGTCTCAGCGGAGATACCTGTATTTTAAACAATAATCCCTGTGTAATTATGCATTTTTAAAGGTATGCATGTATTCTGTGAGAGGTATAAACGAGTTAAAACAAATTAGATGGATTTTACCAAGGTAAAATAAAGTATAAATCTCCAAGATTTTCTTGTTTGAGGGGAACTGTTTGATCTATACAGCACATTGGAAAGATAAAGTAACATTTCAATAATGATTATTCTTCGACAGATGTGATTGTTTTTTAACATAGCGTAAGAGATAAGATTTTCCCAGTTTCTTTCGTGAATCCTCAGTAAGTCAACAGGCGAAAAATTGTTATAGACGTCTCTATAATTAAAAAAGAAATAGGTAACTTCAAATTATAAACTATTATTTTTCATTTTGTTTTTATCAGGATTACTGATTTATTTAATTTGAAACCTTCAGATCCTTAAATCGTAAAATGAAACTCTAATAAAATTTACGGTCGTGTTTTCAAATTACTTACCTACCGTTTTATGGACTTATTTTAATTTCAAAGAAAAGCCAATAGAGTAATTGGAAGCTCTAAAATCATAGACAACCATAAAGTTCACGGGATTTTTATGGCTTTTAAGGTTACATTTTCTCATAATTGCCATACAAATTTCAAATCGATATCTTTTTTCGTTCTCCATAAACTTCTCTAATGAAGTTAGGTTAGGTTAAGTTAGGTGAATCACCATGTATACTCATTGAAATTAAAATTAAAATAAAGTTCTTACCTTAAACAGGAAAAATTGATTAATTTAGCAGTGGGGAATTTTTAATTTAATTAAAATTAAATTTCGCAAGGAACGGTGTTTTTACACTTTGCATTAATTAATTTGTATTTAATATCAAAACCTTTTAAAGTGTTCTCAAGAAACATAAATATTAACGCATTTATAAAGTATTAAGTATATTAAACTTCAAATTAAGCAATAACCCAGATAGCACACAAAGTCTTGAAGATGTCTTTTGTATGTCTGTATTATGACTGAACGTCTGAAGATCTAAAAAAGACGTTTGAAAGACGTCTTTTGATAGACGTCTTAAAGATATCTTCATTGAATGTTCTAAAGACATCTTATAAATGCCTTATACCGCCGTTTATTTTTTTTTTATTTTTTGATAAAATAGTGAATTTTGACAAGTAAGATATAATTAGGTACCATCTTATTTTGTTTTAATAGAAACAACATTAATGTAGGATTTTAAGTTTTGACAACGATGATGATTAGGGTAACTGAATAAATATATATCTGACATTCTTGTAGATTGGTTATTTTTTCTGCAATTAATAATATCCATTTCTTATAAAAACATTATTAGCTACCACAGAGTAGACTCTGTGTTAGCTACATTTTAATTACTTAATACCTTAAAAACGTTTTGGCGATGTAGCAATGCATAACCAAAACTTTTTCAATAGGTAGTCTTTAACATCTTAAAGAAGTCTTAATAATGCCGTTAAAGGGACATCTTAAAGACGGTGTGTTTTGTAACATTAGATATCTTAAAGACGTCTTAAAGATGACTTACGTCGTAAACTGGACGTCTTAGGGATGTCATAAACGTCCGAGTCCGACATCTTTAAGATGTCTCTGTGCTATCTGGGAATTTATACCGAAATATTTTCAGCCATTTTTAATTGTGTTTTCATGTTACTTTTCTTAAACGACTGTTTTTATTGGTCTAATTTAAGAAACTCCATTTCATTTATTACTACACAGACAGCGGCATTAATTTCCACTTATTTTCCCCAAGTAAATATTCCATTTTAAACTTTTATTATGTTTTGAATCTACATATTGTTCCGGCAAACTTCTTTGTTTGCAATGTTTGTTTAAAAAGGGTTTTGTTTACTAGGTAGGTACTCTATAATAGAGTCTCTATTTCTTGTTCGGTTTTAGTTTTAAAATTGGATTAAAATTATTTCAAAGCATGTAAAAACATAGCAGTTGTAAAATAATAGTATATTACGCTACAAGTTTGATAAACCGCGAGCGTAGCCTGCCTAGCGAGTGTTTAATAAACGAGTGTCTAGGGTTTATAATACGAATTAAGTAAGTACATGCTAACTTTTTACGACGTAAACAAAAATTAAGTTGTTTTCAAAAATAAATAAATAAAATTTGACATCTGTTGGACGGCTCAATGTTCAAATATTTTCTGTAGCATATTTCTTTTAATATCTGAAAAAAATACTTCATACATTTTGCGGTTCGTTATTATCGTGTGCTAAAACTTAATGATTTCGAACAACCTGCATCAATTGCAAGGGTGACTTGGATCGTTCTGGGAACTGTCTATCGAGTCGGCTTCGCAAATTCCCATGGACGGATAATTTTGGCAATCGGCGTCGCGACGTCTGTTTCTAATTGCAGCAGGCTGTGCAGAGAGTTGGTTGGTCCGCCAATCACCTCAAATTAATGATGGCAAATCGATTGTAGGTATTTTGTTACAGTTGGATCTTGTTATAATATTCGTACCAAATTTAAACCCATAAGGTAAGTATAAACCATTAATTTTACTTGTTTCAGTTTTTGTTTTTTAGAGTTTCATATGGACTGGGTAACCCAAAGTTGTCTTTTTGGTGTAGTATTTATGCTACAAAATTTGGCTATCTAGGATAATATCTTCAGGTAAAAAAGAGAAGATTTTTTAAGTAGTTTGAGTAGTGCTTACCTTAAAACTACATCAATGAAGAATAGAAAAAAAAGTTCATAAATAAATCTACATTTAGGGAGAGTAAAGATACATCTGGGATAACGTCACAACCATGGTACAAGAAAACATGGTAGGTACCATGGTACATGGTTTTCTTGTACCGTGGTCACAACCATCTACGTCTTCTTCTGGAAACTCTGAAATAAAATTCTAAGTTTGGTTTATGTTTATGTATTGGAATGAAGCTCTACTTGGACCTTTAAGTATTCTGAAAAGTTATCCAAACAAGTAGATCGGTAGAAAAAACGTATCGTAAATCACCGGACCACCCTTTTCTACAGTGTTTTGAAAAATACTAACAATGGTTAGTTTTATGAAAGACATAAACGGAAGTATATAAATTTACAGTTAACACATAACTGGCAATTTGCATACATAGTTCACTTCGCGTAGTCTCTTTTTGGGAATAATAATTTTATAAGGACACCTATTATTCAGTAGATTATATGCAAATATATGCAAACTGAGCGCTAACATTCTCAAATTCAGATAATTTATAAACGCTTCAGTTTTATACTATATCTACAATGATAAATTTCCGAAAACCTATTAAGCTTTGTGTGCAAAGTTGATTTTTTTTTGGTTTTCAAGGAAAATTATTGTTTAAACAGTCATTCAAGTCGAATTCCTAAAAATTGTAGGAAAAAACGTATCAGTTTAAAATTGAATATCGCAGTAGTTATTTTATTCCTTGGAATCTAAAATATGTAAATCCCGTGGTAAAAGATAATCCAAGAAGAAAATATGCCTGCTTTAAAATTGAAACGTGAGATATAAGGATAATTTGGCAAGGGATTTGTTTAATAAGGTTCACATCGTAAATGCATTTTTAATACAAATTATACATTTAAAGAAGAACTGGTACAGATACCATGATACCAGTTTTAAGGCGTCTTTATTGATTTTCAATAACTTAAAACTGTATCAAGACAGAGCATTTTTTTCATTTGAAATCGTTGTTATCAAGGTTGAGAAACGATACACGAATCAGTCCTTTCGAGTGCAAGCACTTTTTTCGCACGTCTTTCTCTAAGGGCCACTTAGCCCTTAAACCGATACGCTACATAAACCAGAACACATTAAACTTAATAGAAGAAGCATATTAGCCTTATTGCGTGCCTCTGTTCTTGGCATCCTATATAAAGTGACCGGCGAATGTATGGAACAAATTTATTGAAATATTCGGCTTTTTTTTCTCAAAAAACAGGTCGATTTTGTTTTTCAATTACGCACATTTTGATGTACAATTTTCATATTTACAGCCATTTTTGTAGGATCTCTGTTTTTGATGGAGATTCGAATAGATTATAAAATTGTGATTGCAGCAATATGCACATTTATACCTTTTGGGCTGATAGTAACAGTTAATTATCTTAAGCGTTCTCCAAATATTTCGAAGTATTTAAATATGGGCTATTTAAGGTTGTCCGGGCATGAGTTTTATTGTTTCGATCGTGGTAGAACTGTCCTATCCTACAGCATTAGATTTAAAATCCGTTGCCAACTATTTGCAACCAAAATTCACATGGGTATAAATTCCATTTTTAGGCGATTTTTTTTTATTATTTTGCAACGTAATTGCATTGTCAGTTCATGAGGCGTTGTTATAGTGTATGTGAATGAATACAAATCTAGAACATCGCTTTTAAAAATTTCGCCAATAACAGTCGCAACGCTTGGCAACGTCGTATTCACTGTCTCTTTCACCCTTACGCTTGCTACATACGTTCTCACTCACACCTATGTAGCACCGGGCGAAAGCGTTCCTATCTGACGTCAGCGACGTTGCCACGAATTTCCAGTGTTAGCGTCAAATTTCGTGAATTCACGGATTTAATCCAATAGGACTTTTTTCCTACCGACATGATCATTATGAAACTTTGCGTATCATGTTTTGAAATTACGCTCCACGATATCCTCATTTTTCATTGCAATCCTATCACTACTCGTGCTACGGTTAGTAAAATTGAACGGAAATTCATAGAGACTGGACATGTTAAAGATATTTCAAAAGCTGGCCGTACAAGTATTAGTGAA